AGAAAAGGAAACAGACGACACGGGAACAGGGGCGAAAAAAAGAGAGACAAAGCAAGCGTCAGAGAAACATACCGAAGGAGAGCAAGGGACGGAGTAGAGACAATAGACGCGGCCCCACCGAAGGGTGGAGACGGGCGCCCCCACCCGGCTGCGGGAGGGAGGACTGTCAGGCCCAACAGGTGGGCGCCAAGACAGCAACGGGGCGTACCGCCGCCACGGCGGCGGAGCGCAACGCAAGCCGCCACGCCGCCGCCGTCGAACGCGCACTGGCACAAGATCGCGCCGCGGCCCAGCCGGCAGCGCGCGTCGCCGAAGGGGAGAGGCGAGCGCGCCCCACCGACGGTGAGTGGCGCTGTCGGGCCCACCAAAACAGGCGCTGGGACAGCGACAGGGCGCACCGCCGCAACGGCGGCGGAGCACAACGCGAGCCGCCACGCCGCTGCTGATCGCGTCGTGGCAGCCACAGGCGCCGCGGCTCGGCCGGCGCGCGTGTCGCCAAAGGAAGAGGCGAGCGCGCTTCACCGGCGGCGAGAGGCGCTGCCGGGCCCAGCAGATATGTGCGCCAGGACAGCGACGGGGCGCACCGCCGCCACGGTGGCAGGGCGCAACGCAGAGCTGCCACGCCGCCGCTGAGCACGCCGCGGCGGCGAGCCGCGCCGCGGCTCGGCCGGCAGCGCGCGTCGCCGAGGGGAGAAGGCGAGTGCGCCCCACCGACGGCGGGAGGAACTATCAGGCCTTAGGACAGTAACGGGGCGTACCGCCGCCACGGCGGCGGAGCGCAACGAGAGCCGCCACGCCGCCGCCGAGCACGCCGCGGGAAGCTCGAACGGCGTGTCGTGCATGGCGCGGCGCGACGGATGATTTAACGCCTCACCCAGGCGGGGACTGAGAACAGTAGCGGGGCGCCGGGGGCGAGCAGGTAGAGGCGCTTATCCTCGACGCTGCGGCGGCCAGCGTCGCCGCGCAAGTAGGTCGCCGCATCGCGCGCCTCCTCCAGCCACTGCGGCCCCGCAACGTTGGGGGCGCAGAGCGAAGGGGGCAGCGCGCCCTCCAGCGCGAGCACGTAGTCCTTAAATAGCTCGCCAGTAGTTGCGGGTTAGCACTCGGGGGGAGGCCGTACGCGGAGACAGCCGCTGGCGAGAAGGTAGGGCCGCGCGCGCAGCCGCCGCCGGCCTCGCCGCAGACGCCGCGGCGCTGGCTCGGCGAGGCGCCCCGCGCTGCGCATGAGCAGCATCCCCCGCCAGCGCGGCCGCGGCGGCGAGGCCCCCCACCGGGAGGAGATCGGGCTCTTTCACCTCCAGCGCCGCTGGCGACACATCGAGGCGGTCGATCGCCAGCTGTAGTGCAGCCGAAGAGGAGAAGGGGGCCGCGTCGAGGAGCCCGCACGTGAGCAGCTCGTTCAGGAAGCGAACCCACGCGGTTCCGGTGAGAGCGAGGTCCAGCGGGCAGACCATCGGGGCGGGAGTACCGGCGGGGGGCGCCGCGAGGCGCAGCCGCCGGCCAAAGACGCGCAGCATCGCGTGGTGCGCAAGCTGCACGCGCGCTGCTCCGCTCGGCGCAGCCGCAACCGGCCCCCAGCGGAGGACGGCAGTAGCCACCACCAGCGGGTGGGCAGCGGGGCCCTGGACGGGGGCGTCGGGCCCCGCGTGAACGCAGTGCAGATCAATCGGCGGTACTGCCGCGGCCATCGCGCCCGACAGGGGCCGAGCGCGGCTCGCAGAAGCTCTCTTTATTCCCTAGTTCAAGCAAAGAAGGGGAGGGAGAGAGCGACGCGGCGAGCGCAGGCGGCGAGCGTGCACGTCGCCTGTGCGGCGTCTTGTTCACTCCCCTTTGAGCTACCTTTGTGCCCCCTTAGGGGCACCCCTCCTGCGCTGCGCGTATGGTCACCCCTCCCTTCCGCCCTGTTGTTTTGGATGCCCCGCTCCGAGAAAGCATGTCTCGCAGCTGCGAGAAAAGACCTCATGGAGAGGCACGCCCCTCGCTGGGCGTCACACTACTGTGAAATGGAACTAAGGTCTAAGCCTACTGCCCCTCCTTATGTCACGTGAGAGAGGCGTTCACATTTCAGCACAAATTCTTTGGACTTTGCTTCGCATTTAAGAGGGCGCGAGATTGTGTGTGTCGATACTGACGTAGGAGCATTAGAACACGCGCAGCAGCGTCATAACGTCCACATGAGAAATCACGCGCCGGGCTCCTTGCGTTTGCGCGCGCGCTCCCGCGCTTGGAGCGCCGCCTCCTGCTGTCTCATCCTGCGGCGCGACGTCTCGAGCACCTCCTCCGCCATCGCCTTGACGCGGTCGAAGGCGACGGACTTGTGCATGCCCCAGTACTTTGAGCGGCTGTGCTCCTTGTACGGAAAGGCGGGCGAGGAGAGGCCGTGCATGATGCGAGCGACGGCGCGGCCCGTCAGCTTCGCCTGAAGCTTGCCCGGCTTGACGGCGGCGCTCAGCTGGCCCCCGATCAGGTCGGTGAGGTCACCTCGCAGCCGGCCGTCGCCGCCAACGGGCGCGCCTGAGGCGCGACGAGGTGTGTTCCGGTCGGGGGAGAATGGCACTCGAGGGTCAGACTGGAGATCGGAGGGAGATCGGAGGGAGATTGGGGGGAGATTGGGGGGAGCGGAGGGAGATCGGAGGGAGATCGGAGGGAGATCGGAGGGAGATTGGAGATTGGAGGGGAGATCGCGCGCCGAGCGCGACGGGCGCCGCCCACTGCGTCTCCTCGTACCGCGGCCCAAAGTAGGCGGAGAGCTTGGCGTCGATCAGCTCGCCGTTTGCGAGCGACCTGCTCACGGCCGGGGAGTGTGAAGAGGCGCCGTTCACACCCGCCGCCGCTGCGCCCGCCCTTCGCGAGGCGCGACCAGAGCAGCGACGCGCACGCGTCGAGCTTCGCGAGCTGCAGCGCGTCGATGGCGCGCATCCGCGCGCACAGTGCCACCGCGAGGTTGCGCAGCTCCGCGGGGGTCGGTGCGTACCTTCGAGAGGTGCGGCCGAGGTGCGGCCGAGGTGGAGCCGAGGTGCGGCCGAGGTGCGGCCGAGGCGCGGCCGAGGTGCGGCCGAGGCGCGGCCGAGGTGCAGCCGAGGGTGCAGCTCCGCGACGGGATTGCGAGCCGGGAGGCGCGAGAGACTGAGAGTGCGTGAGAGTGCGTGAGAGTGCGTGAGAGCGCGTGAGAGCGCGTGAGAGCGCGTGCGATTGCGTGTGAGGGTGCGCACCGGAGGCGCACGTAGAGCGCGACGTCCTGCAGCTCGACGCGCAGCACGCCCGCCGCCTGCAGCGAGATGGCCCGAGATTGCCCGAGATTGCCCGAGATGACCCGAGATTGCACGCCCCCCTCCGGGCCTGCAGCGCGAGCAGCTCCTCGTGCGCCGCGTGCACGTCCACCCGCAGCTCGGTCGCCGCCTGACGACGAGGCGCCGCGACTCAAGAAGGCGACTCGCCATGGTGCACAGCGCAGCCCGGCCCTGCTGGCATGCCGCCTGCCTCTCCGCCGCCCGCCGCTCTGCCTCCCGCCGCTCTGCCTCCCGCCGCTCTGCCTCCCGCGGGCCCCTCAGATGTCAAAGCAGCCGCCGCCGGCGGAGAGGACGCGCCAGTCCCGCCGCTCCCGCCGCTCCCGCCGCCGCCGCCGCCGCCGCCGCCGCCGCCGCCGCCGCCGCCGCCCTCGCCGACCCCGCCGCCCTCGCCACCCCCGCCGCTGCTGCCGCCGCCGCTCACTACGGCAGTGTCGGCCGGCAGCAGCCCGAGTGCGCGCAGCATGGCCTGGTTCTCGGCGATCGAGTCGTCGCGCTCGCCCTCGTACGCCGACGCCTTCCGCCACGCGAATCCGCACACCAGCCCTGGCTCGAGGCACACGCACCCCATCGCCTCGCAGCACACCAGCCGGCGGCGCGGCGGCACGGCCGCCACCGGCACCGCAGCCTGCGCCGCCTTCCCGCCGCCGCGGTCATCGCTCGTCCCGGACGGTGGCGCCGCGGCATCCGCGGGACCAGCCGAAGACGCGCCGCCGCCGCCGCCTCCGTCGCCGGTGGTGGACGCGGCGGCGGAGGGAGCGGCGGCGGAGGGAGCGGCGGTGCTGACGTCGACTGGCTCTGCTCCCCCCGCGGGATCGTCCTGTGGCCGAGAGGCCGATGGAGGCTCGCTCGAGGCCTGCGCGGCGCTGGCCGCCGGCGTGCCGAGGTTGTTGAAGGGGCGCGCCGGCCCAGCGCAGCTCTTTCGCCGCTTTGGCAGAACCGCCGCGTTTGGCGGCTTTGGCG